TAGGAAGCAGCTGCGAATACATTAACCGAGCGGTATGTGTGCTTGCTCACGAGTGTTTGGTAATGTTTTGCATGCTTGCTGCACTCATGACATTCCATGTGCATTGCAGCAAGCAGGCTCGCAGCTGCCAGCTCGCCTGCATAGCGGGCAGAAACTTTTGTCCCACCCACCTCTTCCCTTTTTTTCTGGGTGTGAGTGCTGGCGACTGCACTCTTACACTTTCTTCTACTGGTTTGCATTTGCATTCGGTTGCCTTTATGCGGTCTGTCCTTTAACAGGATGGGTCCATCTGCACTCCCTCTCTCTATGGCAGGTCGGTGCCTTTTGATGCACCTCGATCCCATCTGGGGAGGGGGAAAACATGCAGACCCTTTCACCGGCAGCTTCTTGCTGCTGAAGCTCGGATCTGCATTTCCCGCCAGAGAACAAAAGGAGCGAGTTTGTGCGAGTGACTGCATCAATTCCATGTTATACATTCTTTGCTTTATATGTAGACATTTTTACATATAAAGCTGCATTTAGGAAGCAGCTGCGAATACATTAACCGAACCGCACTGCTCCAAGAGCTGGTTGACGAAGAGGTACGCAAAGGCTTTGTTGCGAAATTCGAAGGCACAGAAGCCGATGCCAGGCGCCGCTGGCCGCAGGGCGCAGCAATAGGAAAGCTTAACATCGTCATGGCAGAAGGCAGGGACCCTAGACTAGGCTTTGACAGCACCGTCTGCGGCCTCAACCCTGCAGTGCACCTGCCAGAAAGAGTAGCACTGCCTACAGCATCCGATGTGCAACGCACCTTCCTGAGCGATGATTGCTTCGCACAGCTCTACGCCCTATCCCTGGACTTCAAAGCAGCACACAAATGCTGCAAGGTCCACCCTGATGACCAGGGCACCCTGCTTTTCAGGGTAGGAGACGCACTGTATTATTATAAAGTCTGCCACTTCGGGGCACGATTCTCGGCATATTGGTGGCAACGCACTGGAAGCCTTCTATTGCGCTGCATACACGCATTGCTTTGCGACCATCCGCATCGTGCGTGGCTTTATGTGGATGACCTCGTGGCGCTGCTACGCACAGCAGACAAAGATATGGCTGCCGCGCTTATAGTGGCACTTCTATCCGCACTCAATGCCCCCATTAGTTGGAAGAAAGCACAGTTTGCGCAGGAAGTCACCTGGTGTGGCTGGACGCTCCGCACGGACGCAGAGACCATTGAGCTCCGCGAGCTCAAGTTGCAAAAGCTCCGCGAGCAACTCCTGGCACTGCAGAAACGCAGCAAAGTGCAACGCAAAGAACTAGAAGGAGTTTTAGGCCTTGTCAACGGGGCGACGTCCCTAAGCCCTTTCATGGCCCCGCTATACAAAGACCTGCATAGCTCTAAGGGTACATTGCACAGCACAGCACCCAGCATGTGGGGTGCATTTCTTGACAGCCTTGACAAACAAGCTCACCCGCGCCCCGTCGGGCACTTGGCTTCCCCGCAACGCACAGCTTCTGGAAGTGGGAAGCTTGAAAATATCACAAAAGGCAGATGTCCCACGGTTCCTCCATCGCACAAGCATCAGTGGGTGCGCTTGGCGGACCCGCATCGCGCTGAAGTGCACCTGCGCCAAGAAAGCAAGTTCGTTTTGGCGTGGCTTCAGCACTGTTTCTCGCATGAACAGCCTCGCTCGCTGCGCACTGCGCCTCGCATGCACTGCAACAGCGCAGCAGATGCCTTTGCTGACACCCATCGCATGGGTATAGGGGGTTGGCTCAGCACGTCTGAATCCTTCCTATGGTTTAGCGCGATTTTCACCGCTCAGGAAGTTCGGCAGCAATGGCCGCAACTGCAAGGCAGCCTGCGGCCCTATATAGGCTGCTTTGAAGCACTCGCGCAGCTGGCACTGGCACAGTGTTCTTGGAAGCTTTTGCGCAGCAAACAGGTAAGATTTGTCTTGCCAACCGCCTCTGACAACACAAGCGCTGAGTCAGGGCTTAACAAGCTCTTCAGTACTGCAGAGCCCCTGGGAACTTTCCTACGCCTAGCCGCCGCCTGGGCGCATTTGCACGGCATGCAATTCGAAGTTGAGCACCTCGCTGGTGAGAAACATGTTTGGGCCGACAAGCTTTAGCAGAGGCTCAAGAGCTTTCCTGCAGCATCGCCTTGCTGAAAAAGTCGAGATCACACTAGCGCAGCTAGCGTCAGCATCGCGTTGCGTGACGCTGCATGATCTCTCTTTGGAGTGGCCGCAACTACTCCAAGATGCGCAGCACGCCATGCGTAAATGAAAAAAGAGTGAAACGCTTTTCTCCTGCTTGGCGCGCCTTCACTCCTGCAACTCGCGACGGTGAGGGGCTTAGCAGGCAGGGATTGCAGGATGCACCTAAAGAGGGGGAAACGCTCGGCATCGCTTGCCTTTGCCTTCTCGCGAGCAATGCCTCGCTAAGCACTGCATCCTCAAGCAGTCTCTGCGGAAAAAGAGAGTTAGTGCTGCACTGCGTTGCACTACACTTCTTTGCAATAGAGTAGAGAACGCTAGTTGTGTGTTTTTCTTTTTTAGTCAACTGTGTTTTCTACCTAGGGTCGAAAGAAGTACTTTTGCACCGCGCTGCTTTCGGCACTAGCAAATACAACTAGCGTTCCTACATGCATCGCATGCAAGCAAGCAAATTTTTCACCCACCCTCCGCGCCCTGGGGGAAACACTCGGCATCGCTTGCCGTTACCTTCTCGCGAGCAATGCCTCGCTAAGCACTGCGTCCTCAAGCAATCTCTGCGGCAAAAGAGAGTTAGTGCTGCACTGCGTTGCACTACACTTCTTTGCAATAAAGTAGAGAACGGCTGTGTGCAGCTCTGAAATTTTTGTTCCCGCCCGCCCTGGGGTGGGTGAGAGATGACGGAGTGCCGTTCATTTGCATTTACAATGGTGGATGCTTTGTGGGCATATAGTGCGGGTGTGTGCACCCTTTTTTTCCTGCATGCTCAACTCACCGCGACACACCCCGCACCATGTGCGGCATTTGGACTCATGTTCCGTCAACAGTTTTTCGGCTGTGTGCAGCTGTGAAATTTTTGTTCCCGCCTGCCGGTGAGAGATGATGACGGAGTGCCGTTCATCTGCATATACAGTGGTGGATGCCTTGTGAGCATATAGTGCGGGTGAGTGCACCTTTCTTTTCTTGCATGCTCAACTCACCGCGACACACCCCGATATCAGAAGAAAAAGTCCGAGTACGCGTGTTGCACTGCTTTTGTGTCCCGGGCGTGCCTCCCTTAAAAGTTGGAAATAATATCTTTCTTGTGGTAGCAGACAGTCATGTAACCTTGAGTGACTACTTTCTCGCGTTTCGTTTTGAGATTTTCTCCAACTTCGAACAACATTTTCAACAACGGTGTACAATTGAACCCAGCACGAACATGTTGTTGAATGATTGCGTGATTACCCGCGCCGCTCCATCAGCATCGCTCGTACGGCACATGTACAACATTGCATGTCTGACCATGCTCAACACGACACGGACATGCACTGTGCAGAGCTGTGCTTGAAATTTTGCACCCGCCGTCCCACCCTTTGTGGGGCTTTCGCCTTCGACACACCTGTGGTGGGGGGTCATGCGCGTTGGGGCAGAAACGGTATCATGCACATTGCACTATTGCGCATCTCAGCGCGACGAACCCCTGGCCGTGAAAAAGAGCGATCTTCCCAGGACCAATCTCATAATACATTCAAGGATTGGTTGCTTGAGTACATTCGATGTTTGAACTTTAGTTTTTGGATACGTACTTTGGAAAGATATATTCGAATCATTGTGAGAACAGAGAGACAATTCCCAAATGCTATGTTTGATACGGAATATTTTCGGAGAGAGGAAAGTCCGATTAGTTGAATGAAATTCAGCAAAAACTGTACTTGCTAGAAGAATTCGACTTTCGCCAAGCCATGCCAGGAACTCTCACCCCCATGCAATCGCATGATCAGCTTGCAATATCTACACTGCCAACCCTTCGCCGGACATCGAAACTCTAACTCATACGAAGGATGAACGCCTAAGCCGACCCAACCCATGGTGGTCCGACAGCATGGGAGCACAGGGAGCCCCCGACCCCGACGGCCCCCGTGGATTTTAAGCCCGCAAAGGGCGCATCGCCAGAAAGTGCCCAGGAAAGTGCTGCCAGCTATGCTGGGGATGGAGCTGCGGAAGATGAGCTTAAAAGCTAGTCGTGAGTTTGTTGTTTTGGTCGACAGTGTTTTCGGTAAGTACTTGAGCTTGCATTGCTTCGCACCGCGCTGCATTGCTAGCTCAAGCTGTCGACTCGGATCGCTTCCGTTTCAAATTTTCACTTCTTTACTCTTACGCATAGCAAACTCACAGTACTCTTATTGAGAACTTCAGCATTCGTGGCGGCCGGAGGGCCAAAGGCTTTGAGACATCTTGTGGTAAGGAAACGAAGCACCTTCCAACAACGGGCCTGGCGAGTACGAAACATGTTGGAGTCCGTTACATATTCAACACAGACTTCATGATGTTTGCAGCAATCTTGATTTTTTCTGCCTTTTATACTTACAACCAATTAAGCAGACTAGGGTGACCAGGGGGTAGGGTGGGGCGTAGGAATTTTGAAGCCAGACCTTAGACAAGGTCGTGCGCAGTCACAGCATACGCACTGGTAGCCAAGGTAAGCTCAAGAAACTTCCAAAAGCCTTGAAGTGTGCCAACCCAGCTCTCGGTTTGGTTCTTGCTGGCTGTCTCCGTCCAAGGCATAGCTCATGTTTGCAGCTAGCAGTGCATTCCGGGATGTAGAGTACATGCATCCCCACACATGATTGGAGCTTCGTGCTGTTGGCAAGAAGTGTGAAGTGTCCGCACATTTTTTCATCTCCATCTCCACAGCAGCATTCGGTTCGCGGGGGAAGTGTCTAGCTTCTTAGTAAGGCATCAGCCATGGCTCAAGCAGCACCTCATGTGATGGCTCGGGTGCAATCGCGCTGGGACCTCATCCTGAACGCTTGTGGCACAATGATTGGATCAGGCATTTATACCATGACGGGCAAGATGGCCGCAACTACTGGCTATGCGGCGGTGTTGTGCTATGTCGTTGGTTTGTTGCCGACTGTGTTGGCGGGTCTGGTGTATGCGGCCTTGTCCACCAGGTATCCCAAGGCCAGCTCTTTGGCCCATTGGCTCCAGCAAGCTTTTGGAAGCTCGGCCTTGAGTTTTCTCGGAGGTTCGGCGACCGTTTGCATCTACATGTTCGCCGGCGCATCCACTACCCTGGCTGCAGCCCTGACTTCTTTCAAATGGGCTGGTATTGCGACTTCGGAAGATTCCTTCGCCGTCTCTGTAGCATGCATCCTTCTGTTGACGTTTTGTCTGATGCTCAACCTCTGCGGGTTGGAGGAGGCTTCGCTTGTTCTCAAGGGATGCACCTATCTAGAATTATCCGGCCTGGTGATTGTCATAGTTGCTGTTGCTCTGACGCCATCAGCTTGGTCCAGCCTATTGGGAATAAACTGGACGCTGCTCCCAGAAGCTTCGCCGCAGCTCGAAGATGACATGCAAGCATGGCTGTCTCATGTCCTGGCCGGTGGAGCCTTTGTTGTGTTCAGCTTCGGCGGGTTCGATTCCATCGCATCGCAAGCTGAAGAGACCCAGAACCCACAACGTGATTTGCCACTCGCCTTTGGCCTCAGCCTAATCGTTGTGGCCATGCTCAACATGCTGGTCATGGTCTCATCACTGTGTGTCGTGAACCCTGCAGACCTTTCCACGAGTCCAGACCCGTTGACAGATGTCATGCAGCGAACCATGCCCTGGCTTCCTCGTGAAGTCTTCACTGTGATCTTGTTGGCTTCTGCTGTGAACACTGTGCTGGGCATTCAGATCCACGTCAGCCGAACTTTGTGGGGAATGTCGAACGACGGAGCTCTGCCGAGGATTCTGGGCAGGACACGTGCCTTGTGGCGTGCCAACAGACCGCAGCCACATGTTGCTTTGGTCGTGACAACTGCGGGCCAAGGAGTTCTGCTGGTATTTGGGCTGCTCGACTTGGGACGAAACTGTGCCACATTGCTGGTGATCTCTTTCTTGTTGGCGCACAGTGCCTACATCAGTGTACGCTGCAGAGAACTTGCGGGAGCTCAACAACTCTCAGGCAGAAGGTAAGGAAAAACATGGGTCAGCTGCAAGGCTCAAGTCTTAAGAACAAGAACCTCACCCCGAAGCCCCGAATGGTTGAAACCCTGTAAACCCATCTTTGTGCATGGCCGAGGTCACAACTTCACGGTTGGTCTCTGGGTGCCTGTCCTTGGCTGGCTTGTGACGTCTTTCATCTTGTACTTTGGCTTATCCAACGTTGCGAGTTCTTCTTCAGTTATTCTTTCCGCGGTACAGTAAACGTCAAAGTATTTTCCAATCTGCAAGACCTGTGAAGGTACCATGCTTTGAGCACCTGGGGCTTTATCTTTCCTGCAGGCTGGGTCACAGTTTCTGCTGCAATTTGGGCAGTGAACTGATTGTGCGGATTCTAAATCTGAAAGCGTAGGTTTGGTAGGTGATAGTAGCAACAGATCCCGGCTTCGGCATCCTTTTTGCTTGCTCACTAGGGACATGCTGGGTGATTCATCTGGATGTGCGTAAACTTTGCCCTGGCTGGGTCCACATCTCACAGGCTTCGTGCTCGCCTGGGGTTTGGTCCCTGTGGCGGCAGTTTTCTTTGATTCCCTGTTGATACCACAGAATTTATCAGCACAGTGATTATTCACGCCGACGTGTCTTTTTCGCCGTAAGTTTTAGATGGCAGGAGTTGTGACATTCCGTGCGGTTCACAAGAAACTGTCGTATCATATGGTGGTGTGCTTATGTTTGCTTCTACACGTCGGTTTCACTCCGTCGACAGGATGCATGCCTCGCTACCTCTGTATAAACTGCATGTTCTCGCTGTCGATGCGAATACAGAATTTGGTGAGCGAGTGCCTGCTTTCCGTGCAACAAAAAAGACGTCCAGATTACATCCGGTAAATGGAATGCAGCACGTCTTGCAACCCATCTGAAGGACCATTGTTTCAGGGATGGGTCAAGATGCCTGCTGCCGTTCATCTACGATGCAGGTGCGAGCGTCATGGTGTTTAGCATCTCTGGGCGGCAGGTTTCCTGAGTACATCGTCGGCCGGGGTTTTATCTTCCTTTCTGGAACAGTAGCCCTTCATTTCAACGGTCCTTCAAGTGTGGCAGCCCCTGTTCCAACGGAGTTTTGCAGGTAATTTGGAACTGGCTAGTTGAGTCGCAGCATTGCAGATTTGTGTGTGCTTGGGAAGCTGCCGCTGCGTTGCCCAAACCTGCCTCGTGATGGCTAGTGACGGAGCTGCAGGCCGCAGGTGCAAGCTGCTTCTCGTCAGCCTGAAACGCTCGTACACTGTGCAGGATGTTCAGGCAGCAATCGACGAGCATCTTTCCGACAACGGGAAAGTGCAAGTCGGCCACTTTAACCCGCATGTGCCTCGAAAGAGAGGCGAGACAAGCTGGATTGCAGAACTTGCCGGTGACCCTCAGGATTTGCTCCGAGCGCCAGGTTTTCCTCCGCCTAGTCTGGCGCCCGCGAAGCTCAGATGTAGCCGAACCAGAGCTGAGCCTGAGCACGAATGTTTGTTCAAGAAGGCGGGCGAACTGTCTGCAGAGCGGTTCGATAGCTTCTGCGGCCCTTCCGCTGCGTCCAGTACAGGGTTGGGTGAACGTGACGATGTTCTCAGCATCGCAACTGAGGACCCTATCCCCATCTGTCTCGCAGTTTCTGTGCCCCCACCTCAGGATAGGCTTCTGAACGAAATGCTGGACCGACTTTCCGGATGGAGTGCGGAAGGACACATCAGCGAGGAGGAGTGCCGTAAACACACAGAGCAACTCAAACTGCTCTTTGAAGATGTGCAGTCCAAGAAAGCAGCAGCACGAGCCAGCTTGGAAGACGAGCCGTTGCTCAATCGCCATCATGGTGAGGCACAGCTGCCTCATCGCGGTGAGTCATCAAACTGTTGGCACGTCAATGTCAAAGAAGCGGCGGACCTTGTCAAGGAAAGCCGGCAGAAGAAGTGGCCTGATTCCAGGAAGTACGAAAATTGTTGGGAGAAGTTATTTCACGACTTGAAGGCACCGCGAGTGCTCCTTATCTGGCCCCCAGCGCTCGTGCATGACCTTCAACGCTTGGATGGCGAGGCTACTCTCATCAGAAAGTTGGGGGATGTCACAGAAGCAAGAGACACTGTGCCAGACAGTTCGGAGACTTCGACATCATACATGTCATGGGTCGACATGGGCAGAAGTTGCACATCACGAACGATGAGCACCTGACGCATGGTCAGTTTTGCCACTGTTTCAGCGAGACAACTCACAGACAAGTTGTCGTTTTAAGTTGCTGCCAAGCAGAGACCTTGGCGAGGAAAGCCAGCTGCCAAAACTCTACCGCTATTTTTTTCGCGCATTCACCGTTGGTATCTGATTCGACAGCCCATGCATTTGCTTGCGACCTGTACACAAGCATTGTTCGACACTCGTGGGCTTCCATTTCTTCGCTCAGGTGTGCTCTTATAGCCGCAAATCGCAGGCACAAAACGAGTGTGATCCTCGTGCAAAGCTTGCGGAGTTGCGTTCGAGAAGTTCGCCTTGGACTTCTTGTACCGATATTGATGATATTGCTGGTGATGCTGCAGTTCATGTGCGTGGATCCGCCGGACCATGTCAGCCACTGCTTTAGCTGGTGCATGTTCGCTTTTCGTTTAGCAGACAGAGTTTGCCTTCATAGCGTGGTCAATCAGACAACGGCGACTTCGCATATGCATATCTGCGGGCAGAAGCTGGTAGACCTATATGCATCTAACCTGCCAAGTCGCGAGCACCACCAAGGTGTGAAGCAAGTCACAGACGAGTGCAACAGAAGGGTATATGTTTCTGGGCACAGGGTGCCTCCATATGCCTTCTGGCCTGACTATCGTGATTTCTACCAACATGTCTTGGATAGGTACAGGAACGACAGGTATTTGGGCAGTGATTTGCCGATCTGGGGCCATGGTCGGCTGACCTTGCACGATTCCCATGTGAAAGCCGACGACCACGACCACGAGGGGGTCGCTTGCAACACTACTGCGACAGTGTACAGGGAGGTGCAGGGCCAGTTCGCGGTAGAACAACTTCTGGTGGGATCAGGCCTTGTTAAAGAGGTTGCAACGTTCCCTTCTTGCCCTCCACCTGATGGCGGCACATCGACATTACGCCATTATCTGAATTTTCAGAAAGTGTTTGCAATGGACGCTGGTGTGATTCCAGTTCCGCCTGGACCCCTTTGGCTATCGGTCTGTCTTTTGACGTCCAAGCAAAGGGGGCGGTTGCTGCAGAAGCTCCATTCTGTGCATTTTCGAGTGGTAGAAGGCTCCTGGGCTTTGATGCCGGCAGCCATGGAGCATGAAGAAGAAATCTCCCGTGGTCAGTCCGCATCTAGCATAGGATTGACTACGAGCTTCGGTGCTTCGCCACTGTCTAAGGCAAGTGGTGCTGGCAATCGGTTGCTTCGACAGTTTTTCGATTAACAATTTTCCTACATCTTGTGCATCTTCGTTGCTAACAGAATTCGATGGACAGTTCTGGGTAGGCCGCAGCGGAGCCTCGACGTTGGAAGTTCCGAGATGTCTAGTCGGGGTTCCACATCAGTTCGGTTGAGTAGCTTAGCGGTGAAGTCTTCCAGCGATACCGATCCCTCTGCAAGACACTGTTCCACAACGGTTTCTCTGATATGACCTAGCATTCGGAGGGGTGATTTTTTTACATTTTTTATTTTTATATTTTTTTGGTGGTGGTCTGCTTGGAGCCTGTCACAGCAGGTGACGAATTGCAGGGCGACAGGCAGGAAGAGGGTGCTAGATATTGTATTATATTATATTAAATTACGTTATACTATATTATATTATATGATATGATATTATATTATATTATACTATATTATTTTATGTTATGTTATGTTATATTTGTTGTTTGATATTATGTTTTTTTATAGTATATGCTATCATAGTATATCATATTAATGTATATTACGTTACATATTGCTATGTTGTACTATATTATACTATTATATTATATCATATCATTTTTATTATACTGTAGTATGTTATTTTATGTTATGTTATATTTGTTGTTTGATATTATATTACTTTGTAGTATATGATATCATAGTATATCATATTAATATATATTAAGTTACATCTTGCTATGTTGTACTATATTATACTATATTAGACTATATTATCTTTTTTTGCGTTATATATTGCTATATTTATATTAGATTACTTTATATTGTATTATATTTTATTACATTTCATGATATTATATTATAGTTTATATGTTTATATACTATATTCTGTTATATTACATTATAAAGATTTCTTTTACAGTTTTTATGTTTATAACATGTTACGCTATATACTGCTATATGTTATACTATATTATACTATCTTACATTATATGATGCTATGTTATATATTGCTATATCACTTTTATCGTTGCTTATATTATGTTATATTCACCTATATTGTATATTCATTTTATACTGTAATATGTTACATCATGTTATATGATATCACATCATTTACATCATATTATATAATACAACGTAATATGATACAATATAAGTTTTTTGTATAATATATTATATTATATTAGGTTTTATTATGGTATATAATATCATATGGTATAATATAGTATTATATTATAAAATATTCTCCTATACTATATTATACATATATTATTTTATATTATATTATATCATATGATATGATATTACAGTATATTACATTATATGATATGATATTCTTTTATATTGTAATATAATATAATATAATATAATATCATATAATATAATATTATATTATATTATATTTTATTATATTATATCATTATATTATATTATGTGATATGATATGGTTTGTTTTGATATTATATTATATTATATGATATTCTATTATATTTTAATATTATATCATATTATATTATGTGATGTATATGATATCGCATGCATATATGTCTATATATTAATATATATTATATATATGTATACATACACAGGTCAGTTGCCGGCCCTCAGGAAACCACAGAACGGCAACTTTCAAGCTCGTTTTTGGACTCTTCCAACTTTCAGCTTGATGTCTCCATGCTCCCACGATGTTACAAGTCTAGCTTTGGCTTTGGGGTAGGGCGGGGGCCGCGGGAGGGGCGGGGATGGAGGAATTCAATGCTCTTGATGCTTGGTGTGGTCTCCTAGGTGAGGATGCTGTATGATGCCGATATGCTCTTGGTGCGAAATATCCGGGTTGTTTTGAGCCGGCGCAGGCGATTTTTGCTTGTGTGCTGTGCTCAGTCCTAGAAAGTTCCCCTAAAGCCACACTAGTAGTTTCCCGAAAGCCCTAAACTATAAGAGATATATCTATATTCAGTTTGTTTTTTTGAGGGCCACGGAAGGGGAGCCGCAGGCTCTTAG